TGACCTGAGTTTGAAACAAACCCCCAAAATGCTGGTGTTTCATTGGAGTGGTTTTAGTTTTCGGGGGGAACGTTGCTCTCAGCTCTCATAACAAACCAAATGCAGCCTGGGAACCACTCCACGGCATGTGAGAAAAAGTTCATCATTAGTAAATAGAAACGGACAGCTGTAACTAGACACCCATCAGAGGGAAGACTCACATTTGGTGGTAGGAGTCACATGATATAGAGACTGGGATCTCTGCAATGATGGTCTCATTCACTGTGTACAGCACGTTTTGGAAAGCATCTTGGAACCAGTAGGCAAAGTCGCTGGCTTGGAATTTTGGGAAGCCCGCAGCAATTGTTTGGAAGGCAGTGCTCAAAATGAGATGCGCGTGGACACTGCGCTGAAGTGCTGCCTGTAGAAGAAAAATGCCTTTCCTTATTCGTGCCGTACAGTTCCCATTGGAGGGCAGAAGGCTAATCTGTCCATGGGCTGAAACATGAAGCTGGATTCTTTCACATCTCTCGTCTCAGACGTGGGCAGTACATAAATGGGGCAAATGGGAATTGGGCTCCAATAAAGGACACGACGAAGGAGAGCTTGAAAGGGGTGCACAATATTTGCCCATGAAAAGCTCTACGAGAAGATATTTTGCAGGTGCTTTCATTGGCCCACAGGGAACTCCCTCCCACTGGTGCCTTGTTGCAGCTAAGCACAAGATCGGAGAAGAAGGAACAGGTTGCCTGTGAGGAGGAACTCCTACAGATCACTGCAACAATGAGACTCGGAGGAAAATAGGTCAACCTTACTGTCCCTACTCGGGCAAATTTCCTGTTGCAACAAGGTTCTCTCTAAGCTGCATGGCAGCCTGACCCTGCAGCTGCTTAATAAGCCCCACCCAGGGACATGTCCCCTCTCTATCTGCTGGGAGAGACTCACTGCTTTCTCCTCAACAGGGAGCTGCTGGTGTCACTGAGGGAGAAGTGCTCCTTCCCCCTGGGTAGGCAGCTCCATGCGCGGCAGCTCTGAGCCCTTGGGTGGGGCTCATTAAGCAGCTGTGGATCGTGCTGCTGCGCAGCTTAGAGGGAACCTGGTTGCTATGTGAGTGAGGACATCAGGCTGGGCCCCTCTTATTCCTACTCAGGCCGGCTTGTTCTGATATCTAGGACCGTCTCAACAGTGCTGGAGGGTCTCCTCCAGTCATCCTGTGAAGGTGGAGGAAGCGAGTGCCAGCCACAGCAGGGACTGGGTGGAAGGGCTTCAGATGATGGCAAGGAAGGATTACCGGAGCAACGGCATTGAGTGTGTCGAAGAATTTAGCGAGGTCTGACGAAGCGTTCAGATTGCTCAGGATCCTGATGAGTACAGTCTCATCAGCCAGGGCTCCGGTGACTGTGGTTAACTGGGCCAACTGCTCTGGTGACAACTCTGACACAGCCGACATCTGAAAAGAAACACCAGTACGCCTATATATTTAAGTTTCAGAGGGGAAGCCGAGTTAGTCTGTAACAGGAAAAACTTAAAAAACAACCAATAGTTTAGTAGCACTTTAAAGACTAACAAAACATGTAGAGAGTCTCATGAGCTTTTGTGGGCACAGCCCACTTCTTCAGATGACCAGAGTGTTGGAAGTCCAGAACCAAGAATATATTTAAGAACAGAAGAACAGCCAATAGGGGATGAGACCTATGGTTCATCTAGCCCAGTCACTTGTCTTGTGACAGTGACCAGTGCCAGACGTTTCATAAGGAATGAACGCAACACAGCTTTTATCAAGTGATTCACCCCTGTTGTCACTTCCAGAATCTAGCAGTCAGAAGTTTAGGGCACCCAGACCAGGGGGTGGCATCCCTGACCTTCTTGGCTAATAGCCATTGATGCCCGTCTTCTCCACAAACTAGTCTAATTCTTTTTTGAATCCAGTTATAGTTTTGGCCTAATAAGTAAGACTGAAAGCTATGACAAGAACTTACACGTACATCTAGTTCTATCGTATTTCCACAGAGACAAACAAGATGGCAAGGCAACAGTCTTAAAGATGCGACTTACCCCATCAAAGCGGGGATTGAGTGAGGAAAACTCTTCCATATTGGCATAGGCACTGAAACGTCCATAGTTGCCGGTTATCCATTGGCTGCTGTTTGCATCCAGGGAACACATGCCACCTAAAACATGAGAAAGCTCTTGTTCCGGAATCAAGTCAGCAATTTACTTGTTAGCCTGGAAACAGACCCTTTCAAGAAATGCATGAGAGGTTCATTTCAATATGAGGTCACCCGATAAGCACGGCAGTTTCAGAACCTTGGTTTCTACCGGTCTAAGGGTATATGCCTTTGCCTATCCCCATATCATCTGAGCACCTTCCATGTCAACTTGACTGCAATAGCAAAGTTTTTAGTGGACTTCATGGAGTCTCTGGCATGTCTCCCTCCTCAGGAGAACACTTTGCTTGAGATGCGGGTTTTGATTTAAGGAAACCATGCAGTCTGGGAGGTATGGGCCAAGCACACAGTCTGAATTTCTACTGTGGAGGAAAAGAGAGAGCCTTTTACCCCATGGCATAAAAGTTTGTGTGTGTTTACCTTGGATATCATGGTAAGACTCTAGAAATCTTAATATCCTGCCGTGGATGGCTTTTTTCTGCTCCTCTGTGTAATGGTCATACGCCCTGTCCAGCGCTTGCACCCTGGATCAAACACATCACAGACACAGACATTAGCACAGAATTCCTTCCTTCCAGAAACACAAGCCATTTGCGCAGAGAACGGTTAACTCCAACTGGTGAAAATTCTGCTACCTGACAATCAGGCAGTTAGGTTGCCACACGACATCCTTGTGGGATGTGCCATCCTGCGGCAATTTCACTGCCTGTGTTTTGCACTAAAATGTCGCATTTGCCAGAGTAATTCTGGAGCATCGGCCAAAGCTGGTCAACCAATGGGGAGGCTCCACGTTAAAAGGTGAATGAACACCTCGTGTCCTGTAGACCAACAGGATCCCCAAGCATGACGGACGTTGGTCCATCGTGGGACACCCATTTTGGTAACAACCCTTCTTAAATATGAAGCACACACCTTATTCATCAGAGTTAGGTACTTATATGGCCCCCCTGGCCATGACAACTGAGTGTCTTAGAAGCTTTAATGTATTTATCCTCCCAATGCCCCCATTAAGTGTTGTTATTCCCGTTCTATATGGGGCACAGAAGGGCTTGCTCCAGGTCACCTGGCACGGTTGCAGAGGAGTAGGGAATTGAATGCCGGTCTCCTAAGTCCCATGCTAGCCTCTTAAGCACTGTACGATCCTTCCTCAGTCTTCTACAGCTGGGGAATAGCTCAGTGTACTAACAAGGAAGCCTTTCACTTGCACAAATCTACACCACAAAATCCTGATTCGTTGCACAAAAATCTCCTGCATAAATATGTTACCGACTGTGACGTGTCCAGATGGGGGTCAGCTAAGAATCTTAGAAATATCTAACTTCTCTAGCGAGGAAAGGAGTCCTTACTTGGGAGAAGAGATATGCCACGCAAGACTTACAGATTTTGATGAGACTGACAGTCGATATCCAGTGGGAGAAGCTGTAGGTACTGGGTGTTTAGAGCGGGCAGGAATAGCTGGAGCTGTGAGCCAAACCAGAAGGCGTACTGCTGTGCTGTGAAGGTGCTGAATTGGAAGGATTTGAATATTGTCTCGAAGGCTAAATCACGAATCCTGGGGTTGGGCAGGACAATGAGATGTTTCTACAATAGAGTCAACAGACAATGAGGAGCATGCATGGCTCTTTTGCCATTACCCTAATGATTGCTTCAGGCAAAATAAATGAGATTTCAATCCAGGAGAGATTTTTCTATGTCAGATGTGGAATGCAAGAAAGCCACTGGGTCTTAATACGGAATCCACAAGGCTGTGTCTAGACTGGCAAGTTTTTCCGCAAAACCATCGGCTTTTGCGGAAAAACTTGCCAGCTGTTTACACTGGCCGCTTGAATTTTCACAAAAGCACTGACGATCTCATGTAAGATTGTCAGTGCTTTTGCGGAAATACTATGCTGCTCCCGTTCGGGCAAAAGTCTTTTTCCGAAAAACTTTTGTGCAAAAGGGCCAGTGTAGACAGCAAAGATTTGTTTTCCGCAAAAAAGCCCCGATCGCGAAAATGACGATTGGGGCTTTTTTGCGGAAAAGCGTGTCTAGATTGGCCACGGACGCTTTTCTGCAAAAAGTGCTTTTGCGGAAAAGCGTCCTGCCAATCTAGACGCACTTTTCCAAAAATGCTTTTAATGGAAAACTTTTCCGTTAAAAGCATTTCCGGAAAATCACGCCAGTCTAGACGTAGCCCAACTGTTCAATATAATGGAATCATGGGATGAATATCTTCTTTGAATGGTGTTCTTATTTAAGTTTTTCAAATCAATTCATAGAATACTAGCATGGACGAGACCTTGAGAGCTCATTACATCCAGTCTCCCACCAAGCACCATCAAAGTCATGCCTGACAGATGTCTAACCTGCTCTGAAATATCTCCAGTGGTGGAGATTCCACAACCTCCCTAGGCAACTTATTCCAACGTTTCACCACCCCGACAGGTAGAAAGTTTTTCCTAATGTCCAACCTAAACCTCCCTTGCTGCAATTTAAGTCCATTGCTTCCTGGGGACTTGAAGACTGTTATTCTTTCCCCTCTCAGTCTTCTCTAAACTAAACAAGCCTAAACAGTCTTCTCTTTTCTAAACTAAACTAAACTTTCCATCTTCCCTCCTAGCTCATGTTCTCTAGACCTTTAATCATTTTTGTTGCTCTTCTCTGGACCCTCTCCAATTTCTCCACAGCTTTCTTGAAATGTGGTGCCCAGAACTGGACACAATACTCCAACTGAGGCCTAATCAGCACAGAGTAGAGCAGAACAATCACGTCTCGTGTCTTGTTCACAACCCTCCTGTTAATGTTAATTCTTAGCGGAGTCCAGCAAATCCAAGGATGAAATACTATCCGAAGGAAGAAAGAAACACGAAGATGTTAAGGTATTGTAGCTATTTTTGAAAAACATTAGAAAGAGAAAACAACAGCCTTACTGAAATGGTAGGATGCCTACAGTCTATAGACAGGTGGACATATTTGTAACCTCTGCTTACATCGTCTTTCCCTTCGGCTGGATATTTCCCATAATTCCCCTCCTCCAAATCCTGCATAGCCATAGCAACGGTCTAGAACACCGTGATTAAACTCTTGTAAAGTTGACAGTTTGGGTCTATTTTAAATAAGTGTTGGGACTTATAAGTGGAGACCACCCTCTAGGAGAGGCGCATTTCCTGTACCTGTTCTGCCACAGTGTTAAATTCCATTATGAAGTCGGTCATTTCCGCGAAGGTGCGCGTTTCCATTTTCGCCAGGATCTGGACCGCAGACCGTTCGTTCCTGATGGCGTTCGTCACCACCATCATCTCCCCCATTTGTCTGGCAGACAGCAGGTCAAGAACGTCATACTGGTGGGGGGAAAACACAGCCTTAGACGCTGCTGGCTTGTTGGTTACTTGTCACCGTAACAACTGCTTTCAGGGCTCACGTAGTCTGCTAGGCCGGTGGTTTTCAAACCTTTTTTCTCATGACCCCGTTGAAGAGAATTGTTGTTGCCACAACCCAAAATAATGGACAAGAGTGCGGGCACCAGGGTGGGGCTGAGGAGGGGAGCTTTGGGCTCTAGGAGGGGGTTCTGGCTTGGAGGGGGTCAGGGCTGTGGCAGGAAGGGCTGACCCTGGGCAGCTCCTGGTCAGCAGTGTAGGGGCCAGGGGCTAAGGCAGCTTCCTGCCTCTCCTGGCACCACAGACCCAGGCTGCACCCCAGAAGCAGCCGGGGGGCGGCTCCC